AAAGTATAATAAAATAGTTAAAATAATATAAAAAGTTAATTTAGATTATTTTTTTATTTAATATAAAAAATTTATAAAAATTAAATAATTTTTATTAAAAATAATTATTAATTTTTATATTGAGTTTAAATCTTTTTACATTAATTTATAATAATAAATAAAGTAATATTTTTCTTAAAAAATATATTTTAAGTATTATTATTATTAATTTATAATTTTAAAGCTTCAAGTTATATAATAACTTATTTTATATTTAATAAAAATATATTTTAAATTTTATAAAAATTTAATTAATAATTATAAAAAATTTAGTTTTAAAATTAATAATTAATTAATTTATTATATATTTTTTATATTAATTCTAATTAAATTTTATATAATAAATATTATGTTAAAAAAGTTATATTAATAAATATTTTTTAAAAATTTATAAAATAAAATATATTTATTTAAATAAATTTTAATATAATAAATTAATTAAAAAAATAAAAATAAAATTTTATTTTAAAAAATTATTTATTTAAGATATAAAACCTTTATATTAGATTATAACTTATTAAATTATATCTAATTTTTTGATATAATTATAAAATATTTAAATTTAATATATTAATTTTTAGAATTTTGATTAAAATTATTAAAATATTCTTTTTTATTATATTTTAATTAATATTTTTATTTATATAGAAATTAATTTTAAAATTTAGAAATTTTACTATCTATTATATATTTAAGTTAATTGATTATTAATTTAAATGTTATAGATTAATTAAATACTTTTAATTATTATTATATATTTTTTTCAGATTTTTTTAAAAAAATTATTTAATTATTAAATTATTATAAAATTTTTTTAATTAAAATTTATTTTAATATAAAATTTTTTTAATAAAAAAATTTTTCTAAGTCAAAAAATAACTTTTAATAATTTAAAAAATATATATATTAAAATAAAATTTTTATTTATAAAATATTTAGATATAAATAACTATTTAAACTATTAAAACTCTATTTTAATAAGTAATTTACTTATTAAAATTAATAAATAATTTAATTTAATTAATTATATTACAAGAATTTTATTTATTACAAGTATATAATACTTATTTATTATCAGATTCTCAAGTAAATTATAATTAAATTTAAATTAATAAATAAATAAATATTATATAATTATAACTTTATCATTAATTTTATTTTTTAAATTATAAATTACAATGATTATTAAAGATGATTATTAGATTATTTTTATTAAAATAATACTTAAACAAATTCTATTTATAACACTGATTTTTTATTAATAATAATTACTTTTTTTAAACAAATTAGAAGTCGTTTCAATAACAATATAATAAATGAAATCAACTAATTTAATCTTATTGTTTTTGTATTATTCTAATGTTCATTCATTATTTATTTCCTTGAATTAATTCATTATAATAAGTATTAAAAAAGCGATCATTGTACAAACCCTTATTTAGTGCTGATCTTTTTCCTATTATATAACGTTAGAATTTCCCAGATATATTATCGTTATGTACACGGCCGTCAGATTTTTTCCCGGACTCTATCCATTTGGGGAAATGATTCCTAAAATAGCGTTTACGTATAGATGCCACCTTAAATGTGTACCTTTTTAAATATTTGTCACTCAAATGTGAAATCGAAATTTGACCGTTCTTTACCGAAATTCTTTGACGAAATCCAATAATCATCAATATGGAGTGAATGACATAAAGAAATAATAAGGCAAGAGAATGATTTATTTATAGCGTTTAGCTTTTTTCATTAGTTTTGTATCCCTTGTCCCAAATCGAAAGTTCTCTTTGTGTTCAATCCTTATATGAACAAAATATTTGTTGAGGGTCTACATGTGTTACCTGTTTATCCTCTACATAATAAAAATATTGTTTGTGGCTTTACTTTTACTCGTTAAATGAAAAGCGCGTAATTCGAGTCACTAGTACAAAAAATGATAATTCAATCCAATTCAATCTATCCAATAAAATACTGCAGACACATGCAACAAGAAGCTGTTTGAATACAGTATATCATACATGTAAAAAGGGTCATGATACTGATTTCCTCCTTCTATCAACTTTGAAACAGAAACCTGCAAAAAGAGAAAACGGCTGTTTCGAGACATGATATGATCTATGACAGACTCGATATAGTATATTTAGTAATTCTGTGTGATTCGGTCATTAATGGAAATCAAAAATTCAATCAAAAAATTTTGATAGCGATAGCAACAATCTCCTGGTAGAGTTTTGTTGAATTATCTATTTCTAATTTCGTTTGGTTTTTTCCGCTTACTTCACACTTTATTATCTTCTTTTCCTTTCAGTTACGTCCTCTTTTTTAGTCTATTATTTCTTAATAAAAAAAAAAAAATCATATCATCAATAATAATAATAATAACAACAACAACAACAACAATAACGATAATAATATAATAATAAATAACAAACCAATAATAAATGGCACATAAAAATCCTTATCAAAGAGTTGGTAGTGTACCAGAACCGGACCCAGCAAACATTAGTAACATTAGTAATAATGACGACAACAATAAAAATCATCAAGAACGAGTAGTTCAATTTTCATCATCATCAACAACAGTGACGACACCAGAACTGAAGCAAAATATTGATGAGGTGAATACTCAAAGTGTTATTTTTCCCCATTCTTCTTATTCTCCAATGACCACCACTGCAACTATGGTATCCTCCGACCAACAATCACACACTTCAACTTCACCCATACTGTACGAAGAGCCAAGTCATGATCCAATTATACAAGATCGAAATCCAAATAATTATTTAAATGATAATAACTTCCATAATAATCTAAATAATAATAATAATAATTTAAATCTAAATAATTATAATATTCCTCCGTCGATGCCTCGACAAGAATTTGTAGTGGCAGTTAATAATAATTATAATAATAATTTACCATTATATCATGGACAAGTGCCATCAATATCACCATCGCCAATACCATCAACCGATAGTAACCAAGTAGCACCGTATGAAAATTTGCCACCACCACCAAACTATCAAAATCTAGGCCAAGGTTCAGATGTTAAGCAACCAATTCCTACATCACACTCATCTTCTCATCTTCCTCCTCATAGTGCTGTTATCGAAATGGGAACAGTGGGAGCAATCCGTGATGATGAGGCAATAAAAGTTGCTAATTCTTTACAGTCTGATAGATCAGTTAGAATGGGTAAGAAATTCATTATACTCTTATTACTATCATTATCATTATAAGAAACTAATTATCATTATTAATATTAATATTATAATATTCATAATAAAAATAATAGCATTTGTGAGAAAAGTATATTTTTTATTGGCTGCACAGCTGGCTGTGACAATTGGAATTTCTTTTTGGTTCAAGGTGGATACTAATATAAGAGATTGGGTGTCGGATCAGTAAGTGATTGATTATTTTTTATTTTTATTTTTTTTTTAATCACTTATCCAATTTTTGACATTTATTCAA